CTCACAACTCTTATTAATCCCGGGACCGGACAATTGTTATTTGTTCCTACTCGGAACCGAGTTTTGCTTCCCAACCCTGCCACTGTGCTTCACTTCCCGCCCCGCCCCGTATAACTGTACAGAAAGCGGCGAGATGCATTTCCTTAGGAATCGACAAGCAGAACCGAAACTAACATTTCTAAACGAGCAATGGCGGACACGTACAATTTGCGAATGAGTTCTGCCTTTTGTAAAATGAATTTATCAATAATTTGACAATAAATCAGGGCGAAAAACGTCACTTGTCCGCTGGACAAGTCAATTGAAAGATCCAGCGCAGATCTACTTGTCCGATATTGTAAATAACACGTCCCGGACGGTGGGACGTGTACTTTTTCGCACACTGATAATGAGAAATATTCTCATGAATATTAAACACAACACACCTCTGAACATTACAAATATTCGCCTCAATTCAACCTGGAACCTACAATACAATAATACACTACAAAGTGTGTTTGTGTATGTGTGTGTACAATAACAAGTGCGTGCGTGCGTGCGTGTGTGATGGATCGTTGGAGCTATGTGCAACTCAAGGCATATGCTCGAACGGGAGCTGCCTGGACGCTGCAATCATGTTGCACTATCCGAGCTGAGTCTGCTGACTTTTCGCACAATGTCGCCCACTGTCTGGCTGTCTGCATAAAGTCAAGTGGTCGGCGCAGTTGTCAGCGAAATGTCGCTCCTCTGTTTTCATTGAAACAGTTCCTTATATCCGTTAGCGCAGCTAGCTAGCACCAGATGCTAACAAAAAAAATAATACACGTAAGGTGTGCGCGTTCTCTCTCTCTCGCTCGCTCGAGCCANGCGAAATGTCGCTCCTCTGTTTTCATTGAAACAGTTCCTTATATCCGTTAGCGCAGCTAGCTAGCACCAGATGCTAACAACAGCAATACACGTAAGGTGTGCCTCGCTCTCTCGCGCCACACATACACACGCCCTCCCGGTCCTCCCGTTGGCCAGTCGGTGCCTGCCGGTGAGCGTGGAAATGTGGTCTGCCGCAAGCGGACGGCAGGAGCGGGGCTGTCATCATCAGCTTGTAGACGGTATTTTAAACTCGATGCGCTCTGAAAACTACGGGGCGGCCGAGGACAACAAATACACATGCGTTAATCGCGTTAAAATAATTAGTGGCGTTCATTTTTTTTTGCGTTATTAACGCGTTAACTTGACAGCCCTAAAAATAACTGGTGAATACATCTTTAAAATAAATATTGTGGGGTAAAAAGTACAAAGTTTGCCTCCAAAGTGTTGTAGAGTAGAAGTATAAAATGAAAATACTTGGGTAAACTCAGAGTACTCAGAGTACCTCAAATGTGTACTTAAGTACAGTACTTGAGTTAATGTTACTTTCCACCACTGAATATAAGAATAACATGTCAGATCTCCACCATCTCTCGTAAATTAGGCAGCAAAGGATAATGAAAGAATGGAAACAACACATATATACCTGTCTGTGCCTTAATATCAGATTCAAATGTTTAATATTTATCTGCTGACAACGAGCCAATTATATATTCTCCTCCATAAAAAGACGCAGTTTTAAAATGTTTAATTACATTTCAAAATAGTTACCTTTCTGAAAGCCAGTAACACATACAGTGCCTTTTATATTCCGCCTTTAAACATGGCATGTTATGTTTTTATGCATCCAAAGTCATTATTGGTGATAAGATTCCTTCTTGTTTTTTGAATCTCGTCATCAGTTACTGTTTTAAATCCCACAGAAAAAAATGACACAGGGACAGGAACAAAAAAAATGATCCAGATGATCTTCAACTTGTCGGAGATACGTAAAAGTGTGGGGGATTATCGCCTGCTGACCAGTGCGGAGCTACGGATACTCATCAAGAGCACCAGCATAGAAAAGGAGCAGCGGGTGGAGCTGTACCAGGGTCTGGGGGAAGCGCGTCGCCACCTCGTCTCCCGCTTCGTCTCCAATCACTGGAAAGACAAGTGGATGTCCTTTGATGTCACTGAGAGCCTGCATACATGGCTCAAAGGGACTGGTGAGAAAAAATAACTTTATTTACACTTGATATGACGCCTGTTCATTTCTTTAGTTCCACCTGTCTGCAGATACTAAAGATGATGTCTACCTTAACCAATAAAGTTTTGAATAGCTGTAACTGTTCTGTCTCACCAGACGATGAGCAGGGCTTCGAACTTCGGCTGTTCTGTGAATGCGGCCTGAACAATTCCGAAGTCTTTGGTTTTAAAATCTCCGGTATTGACAACAGTAGGGGAGACAAATCAACTATGCAACTGTTGACAAAGCAACCACCCTACATCCTGACCATGTCCATCCCTCAGAACAGCAGCAGCCACCTCACCTCGCGCCGAAAACGCTCCACGGACACCAAAGATATCTGTACAGCGTAAGCAATCCTGCAGATAGCAAATTTTTCTGTTGTCATTTATTTCAATAACATGTTTGAAGCTGAAACAGGCTTTGCTACCCATTGTGAGATTTAACCATGGATGTATGAAGAGAACTGGATACAGTGTTGGAGGCGGGACCCCTTTCTTACCTATGGAAGTTGCTCAGTGGCACATGGACTCTTGAGAGCAAAAGTACCCGTACCTGGGCTCATTGAGCGTGCAAAGTTTAGCTTTCCCTTCAAGCCCCGCCTCCAATCTTCCGCTCTCGGCTACGTCAAATGAATGTAGAGAGAAAACTTTTAGACCCTAATGACTTATTAAAGGGCTATAAAAGCGGTCACTTGGTTGATTTTGTTTTAATATATTACCCGCTGATTAACAGACGTCTCTTACTCAATGTAAGTCAATGGGAAAAAGTATTTTTGGGCCCAATGATGTCACAGACTAACACACAAGTCGTAGTACCACCGTTTGGCCACTACAAAGATTTGCTTCAACGTCCGGAGCACTTCCTGGGGGCTTGGTTTTAACACGTTGGGACAGGTGAAAGCACAACTCAAAGCTGTGTGGTAAATAGACTGTATTTGTACAGCGCTTCTGAACCCCAGTAGGCCTCAGTACTTAATCTATCTACACCAACCCTGTCTCCTACAAATGATGGTCCGATGCAATTTAACTGCATTCTCAATTACATTTCAAGGGAAACATATTTTCTTCTGGATTACAGTCACAGTTATTAACATGTGTTTAACGTTATGACTTGAAACAAATTAAATACGCATCAGAAGTACTTGGTTCGGTTTTAGGGAAAGATCACGGTTTGGCTAGTATATTCCTACTCTGGGTGAAAGTCCTGTGTATTTTTGATCCATCCATCAAACCAGACTTCACCCCAACAGCGTCTTCCACTGATTAGAAACATACTCCATCAATCAAAAACAAAGCGTCATCTGGGAGAAAATAGGTTTGCCTTGAAACGTTATTGAAAACGCATTTTTGTTGTACAAGAATGTTGTTTTTATGAGACCAGGCTGTCCACACACACTGTCTGGCTTTTAGGAGCAACTGGGGTCCAGACTCCACCTGCAAACTACTCGTTTACTGAACCCCAGCTGCACTTGAGCACATTGTATTTTACACTTTTGATTAGATTTGCTGCCCTTTATTGGACACTAAACCCTAACTTAGTGTGGGATAGACCTCTCATTATGTGCCTGCAAAGTGTACACTGATGGGATGAGAGCAATCTTATATTAAATCGTAATTTTTAAAAACTAATGGATTTTGAAGATTTCCCTGCCACAGCAACTTTTCAGCAACAACTGAAAACTGCTATGCTTTCTCATCAAAAAAGTTTCCCTGTTTTCTCTTTACGCAGTACTACGGAGACCTGCTGCGTGCGAAGCTTGTACATCGACTTCAGGAAAGATCTAGGCTGGAAGTGGATTCATAAGCCGACGGGCTACAATGCTAACTACTGCATGGGGTCCTGCACCTACATCTGGAATGCTGAAAACAAATATTCTCAGGTATACACCTCAAAGTAGTGGACTATCTATTTCTGATTCCATGGCTAAATTAAGGCACAGCAGAGTTAAGGTTCGGCAGCTCAGACGCAATAATTCTTAGAACTTAATGTTTTTCCGTTTATGGCTTCTCAAGGGCTGCTTTGATTCACACATCAGGATTGTGGAAGTGTTGTCACTGTTCATAAAGAGGGTTAAAATTACTGCTGAGCCGATCCTCCATTAGTTGGTAGACAGAAAAATTATTTTGGTCAAACATTTAGTGGTTCGAGATTTGAAAGATTATACAATACAAAACGTAAACAAATATATATCATTGTAATTGTTAATGACATAAATAATTTTTTACACGCCCATTTCTAATAATAAAGCACATACGAGACGGATTACTATGACATCAATGTGAAATGTTTTCATTTACAATACTTCCCATTCAACATTTTGTTGCCAATACCAATATTTTAACATAAACACTCTGGTAACTTAAGCTTGTAACAATCAGTTTTTACTACAAATGCATTGTGGGATTATGAAATACTGAGCTGAGATCACTTTTTGAGGATCATTCTTTGGCATTCTGCCTTTATTTGGCAGAGACGGAATAAAAATAGAAAGAGAATGGAAACCCAGTATGACACGCAAAACATAGGTCCTGGAATGGAAAGGGTTGCGGTTATGTGGTATGCGCTGTAACCATTCAGCTGTTCTCATGTCCTTCCCTTGTTATAATTGTTTGCAGATTTTGGCCCTGTACAAGCATCACAACCCAGGAGCCTCTGCTCAGCCCTGCTGCGTTCCCCAGGCCCTGGAGCCACTGCCAATCCTCTATTACGTGGGCAGGCAACACAAGGTATCCATACCGCAGCCATGTAGCCTCCATTCTGAAGTATTTACCGAACATTTCATGTGAAAGCCACACTTGCCAATGAGTTAACCCATTGCTGTTGATTTTCACTTTCAGGTGGAGCAGCTGTCCAACATGGTTGTGAAGTCCTGCAAGTGTAGCTAAAAAATATGACATGGCACACTGCTCCGCATCCTTTCGAACATAAACCGAGATGTGTTTGAGGCCACAGAGAGGGGCATGCAACGGAAACAATGAGGTGAATAAGGAGCAGAATAATGAGGACATGGAGAACAACAAATGTAAAGTCTTCAGGATCTTTGTGGTCCAACCTTTTTCCTGAGAGCCACCATTGTCATGTTGAACGCACAAACCATGGACTCCTTTTATCCATATTCTTTTCTATGTGTATATACTTTTTCCTTGCAGTAGTTGAAATATCTGTCTTAAAATGAATTAATTTATTTGTTGGAGGGACAGATCTTTAAAGAAGTGATATACATGTGTAAAAGTTGGACAGATTTAAAGGATTTTTATAAAAACAAGAAGGAAGAATTCCAAAGGATACGAGGACCAAAATGACCTTGATGATTGTCTGGGATAAGTGGTTATTTCCATATAATCTTCCTAATGGGGTCTCAGTTTAAGGTGCTAAATCCCAGGTGCTGGGGTTTTCCTGGAAAACAATGCCCCAGGTGTTTTTGGAGAACCGTAAAGGTGAACAGACAGTCCAGCCTGGGAACTCCCTCCAACCAAGAATCTGGATTCATCAGCAAACAGAGAAGTCTTTCACGACAACCGTTCTTCAGTTTTACTTTTCTACAGCCCACGTGATTTGTAAAATGCTTTTTTAATACATAGTTAAATGTCAGTCTGTCCTCATGAAGCCTCCCGTGCTGTCAGAGCCATGAGTAATATCAGTGGTTGTAAGAGTGATGACACCTTGTTTTTCTCTCTCAGGATTTACAGCCAGCTTGTTGTCTTTAGATGGTGAGGGTCAGGGGCTGTGGTTGTGGTGTTGGTTTTAGGGAAGCCATACAGACTCAATACAGAGATTTGTTTTTGTTTTTTATAACGCCATAGTAAGTTATAATAAGAGGCAATGTATGCCTTTTATTCCAGGACAGTTCTTTTTCATTTAATCTGTAGTGTGATGCTTTTCGCACAACTCAAGAACGAATTCAGCTTGTTTTACACTTCAAAAAAATACTCTTCTTGTAGTGCACTTACCATTTGAAATTTGTATTTGTAAATATTTTAACAATTTTAAATAAACATTGTTGTTAAATTATCACGTTAGGGTGGAATATTTTTTCCAAGAAGAATAAAACCACATGCAATGTATCACTCGTCAGAGAGCTGTGTTGTGAAGTGTGTGTAAACCGATAACATTTAGACATGCATTCTGGTCTTCATCATCATGAGGGAACATGAATGAAATGTTTCATCTTGTCAGTGTTTGGGATGTTTTGCTTTGTGACTTAAACAAATCCCACAACTTTTCAGCTACTTAAACATCTCTCGTGTATTTCCTTTGCTGGTGGGGACATACAGCATGCACAGAACAAATATTATGTTTCTTTCAGCAAATTCTATAAAACCAGGTTGTGCGCTTATGACTGTCCAATGTCAGATCTACCAGTGGAAAAGCTTGGTGAATGCCAGGTGCGTGTGGTCTATTTCTGGGCAGCAGTGGATGTGTGTTTACTCTGGACGGCTGTGGACTGACTGAAGAAGAGCAGCACCTGAGGCAGCGCTCCAATTCCCGGACGCAAAGCCCCGTTCTTGGCACTGCTTTTACATGTAGGGATGCACACCATACCAACATCTCTTTAACTATCTTCGAGGCACCTCGTCCACCCCCACCCTGCCAGCCCCACCCCTCTCCCTCAGTACTCAAGGGATTACTGGCAGCCCACGAGGCTGAATTGGGAGTGAGGAAAGCAGGTCCAGACCCGTTGGTAAGTCCCAGACTTAAGGGCAGTGACTACATGGAAAATTAAACACACATACTGTACACATGCACATGAAAACACTGAACCCACTGACACACAGCCGCGGCTCCAGCACAACACGTCAAATACCTTACATAAGATTTGTGCTCCCGAGGGGTGTGGGGGATGCTGCAAACAAAGCGACAGTGATCTGTGCTATCTTGTTCCAAAGCTGGTCATGTTACCCAGTGTTCTTCTGCAAAGTGCAAGAATCTTCAACACAGAGATCCCTTGTTTGGAAAGAGCTCTCTAAAGGAGGATAAACAAAGTAAAAATGAAACATGATCAACATAATTGAATCTCTTTTTATCTCACCTCTCAACGTGGTCCACACAGATCCCTTGCCAGGTCTTGATTTTTAATGGTGCCGACGCACAGTACGTACTGTTTTATCTTGGCAGAGCAGATGTAATTGGAATGTTAAAAGGTTTTTTTTCTGCAAGAAAGTAAGATCATTACCTAATCCCAAACAAGTTAAACATGAGTTGTGTTGGAGGAGACAAGATCATTAAAATGTTTCTAAAAATGCCAGCACTTCCACCTGCTTTACTTTCCCTGTAATGACCAAACAAAGAGTAAGAAGAGGCTCATAAATCTATCAGGATGTTAATGGAACAGTCCCAGAGGGAAGTCAAACTCAAGTAGGCTTGTCCTTCAAACCAATGTTCATTTCTCGGCAGCTGCTTCCTCTCGAGCCCTCTGGCTTTTATGGGACTGAAGCAAGCTGCTGACACCTCCTGCTACATACTGAAGCACTTCCTAAAAAATGCTGCATCCAAAGAAAAAAGGCACTTGAATCTTCCTTACCGAGTGTTACACGAGAGAGAAAAAGTGAAGACAGGTGCCTGCAGCATTTCAGGGTCAAGCAGGTGTTCCCCTACTGTTAATGCAATCCACGTGCAGAGTTTATATGACTTCATGAGTAATACGAAAATTGCTCTGTTGTTGCACTTCCTCAGAGCAAATAAGTCAATTGTGTTATAAATCACCCTTTAATTGCATGCACATGCTTTTTTATCTGTAAAAGCTCTGTTTCATGTTAGGCTGCGTAAAACATGCACATGCTACAATCTAAGTGGATCAGCCACGCCGCCCGTCTTGAAATGCTATTTTGGGTTCTGTCTTATTACAACACATATGACATTTGCAATTATATGCCCACTGATGTTTTGCGCCAACTGTTTATTAAAAGTAGATCTCTGAAGCGACCTGGTGTAATTCCTGTGGGCTCAGACAGAGCTGACTGCGACCTTAATAACACACTGTGGTGTCCTGCTGCTGCTCCACAAACACACAGCTGCTCACAGCCATTGTTGCTCCAGGTGCTGATTCTGTGCATGCACACACAAATACTCACACATCGACAAACATGGCTTCCTACTCTCTGTTAAAACTCTGCTCTGATTATTATTATTATCAAATGTTTATTTATTTTGATTGCTGAGTCGTTTTTCATTTGAATGTTTATGAAGACTGAGTAATTTCACTACATTTGTTTTCCTATCTTATTAATTATCCTTACAAAAAACGATTACGTTTTACTACATGTCATTGTTTGGCAATATATATTTTGGTTCAAATGCTGTCTTCATTGTTTTCATTGATGTTGTTTTTTTATTTCATTACGCTTTTTATTACTATAATGCATATATTTCCTACCATGAATATTTACACACACACATACACACCTTTTTGAGGAGTGGGGACCGGATAAAAATAATGTCCTCACTTTGGATTGGTCCCCACAAAGATAGAAATATAAGAACTGTAACACACACACACCTTATTACCTTGGCTTTGGAAATGTGTAGCAGTGTCTACACATTAATTGATTATTGAGAAGTTTTGTGTGGAGGCTGAACTGCTGAATGTGCAAAAAAGGTCAACGGTGAGTTGACAGGTTCCCCCCCCACTCCACCTGTCTCACCTTTACCGCCGTGCCTCCCCCTTCACACCTGCAGTTTAAGCCGAGATGGTTATCACAGTCTGAGTCAGCCGACCATATCTCTTGCTCTGTCTCTTCCTTTCTCTCACTTGTCCTCTCTCATCTTTAGCCCCTGCCAGCGCTTTGAAGCCCCCCTGGCCGTGTGGAGTTACCACCTGTACCAATCAAGGCAGGTAATAGGGGAGAAAGCAGATGTGGGACTGAATGAACAGAGAATAATAGACCACACACTTCTTCTCCATTTAGCTTAAGTGTTTTAGCATTAACAACAACATTTTCACAAATGAGAGTCTCTCAAATCCTTTTCTCCAAATGCTGGCTATGTTCTTTTGTCATGCACATAACCAGTAGCTAACATCTTAGCCTCGTACGCCGAGGAAGAAAGAGAAAAACTCTTCAAAGTGAAAACTACAAAGGGAAAGTATGATGAACCATGTGAGTGTGGTTATAAAACATGCCCTGACTCATTTGCTCAGTAAGTAAGTAAGAAACATCTTCCTAAATAAGGAAAGGTACTAAATGTATATCTGGACAGGCTCCGTCTCACAGGCCCGCCCCCCGCTCCGTTTCCTATTTTCTGATTGCGTCTCTATCTTTTCTCTCTGTTACTCTCTCCCTTTCCCTTTCCATGGACACAAGGGGACACATATACCCTCATAAACAGCTACCAAGGTCCCTGGTAATAAAAAGACAACATTGGCCCTGTTGAGATTACACCCAGGGGAGAGGCATATCCTAAATAGCAGTTTATTCTCACATCCCCCAAGGGTGATGGTGACAGTGGGAGGGGGGGGAGAATTAGTGAGGTTTGAGGGTCCCAATAACTTTCTTTAGCAGAACCTCGCTAGCCTTTACTGCCCTAGTGTGTAACTAAATGTTTTTTTTATTAAAAGGTTTCTGGTTTTCTGGAAACTAGGTTTGTTAAAGAGGCCCTTTTATGCTTTTTGGGGTTTTCCCTTTCCTGTGCTGTGTTATATCGTGTTACACATGTCTGAGCGGTCCAATTGAAGATCAGTTAAAAGGGGGGTGTCGCTAATAAAAGCTAATCTAAAAGATGTGTCTTCAGCTGTCCACTGAGTTGGCCTCTCTGATGTATAGTTGTAGTCTGTTCACAAAAGCTGCTTCGCCTATTTTATTTTGGGGAACTTTGGGAATTTTTAAAAAGCCAGCTGAAGAGGACCTCAGGGCACTTCCAAATCACACACATTGGGTTAAACTGACACAGCGGGAAGAAATATCATCCTCCTGCTCTGTGAATGCACACTAACACACACACACACACACACACACACACACACACACACACACACACACACACACACACACACACACACACACACGCACTTTCACACACATTCACACACATTGTCTGCATCGCATGGTAACTCCCCTTATTGGATACATGGGAGGTAAGGGGGTTGCTAGCTTGGTATAGGGTCTGTTTTGGATTAGCCATGATGTCCTGTGTCAGTGGGGCTCTCAGCTGTACTGATGGACGTACAAGGGTTATGACAGCAGAGAATAAGCCTGTTCCTCCATTGCCTCTACTCCGAGGGACATTAGGTCAGTGTGCCCCCACCCCTCCTTCCTCTCCCCACTGGCTCTGAATTCCCCAATGAACAACACATTCCTCCTTCTCAGTCCCTCTGTTTATGACACTGCATCCTTTGAAGCAGTTGAGTATTTGTGTACGTGCATGAGCCCAGCGCATGAGTGTGTGTTACTGTGTTGGTCTTGAGCAACTGAGCCCGGGTGAAAACGTAAACGTTTCAGCATGACGGTATCAAAGTTGGAGCTTCGAGTGTTCTACTGATCCGACACACCTGAGCAGGTATGATACATACATCTGTGTGACAGCTGTTTTTTTTCTTCCACCCCAACACCAAATGCGGAATCTAGGCCAATTGAGCAAGAGCGAGGGTGCACGACAGCGATGGGTGGAGGAGAAAGCTATGAGTCATCGGCAAATTTGGGATGCGCTCGTTTTAAGAGGCAGAGACGGAGAGAGGGGGCAGACTGGGTGTTGAGACGAAGAAAAACAAACGAGTTGCTTTTCTAATTAAAGCCGCCCTGAAGGAGAGGGTGGGGGCGTTAGGGAGTTGAGGGGTGGTGGAGGTCAATGTGAAGCTGAGTCATTCCTTTACACCCATTTCCTGCGATTGGGCCACTTTGGGAGCGGGCAGCAGGGTGAAATGATGTGTTTGGTTTATGCAATCTTTTCCTAATTTCTCCTCCCATTCAATGCACGCTCACACGCAATCACATTATACATGTACAGTACACCCATGAGACCATATTCAAACACACTGCTGCATACATGTGCAGGATGGATTTATGCACACGTGCTCACAT